ATGTGCAAATGTTAATTGTTAAATTACAGCTTACCTCCTTTGGTCCCCTAATAACAGCTATGCTTATAGCCAGACACCTGTTTCAGACTGGATCTGGAGGGAAGCTGAGTCAACCAATAAAGCACAGTGATAAATACACACTGAAATATTTCATGTTTAAAAAGACAATAAAGCCAGCAGCCTTCTAGTACTGGTCATTTATCCACAGTCTGGTGGGACAAAGAGTGGGAGAAATGTCCAGCTTCACTACAATCTGATAGCGAAGATCATCAGAAGGCCATACGATACAAAGCTACATTATTGATGACACTAATGGGCCAAAAAAACACCAGAAGTGGCACATTTTAAAGCCATGGTAAGGAACATTATTATTTTTTAGTAGCAAAAAACCCCAAAACATATTGTAATGGGGAGAGTTTCCGTCGAAGACTCCTGTGACCCCAGACTCATCAAACAGCCTGGCAGCAGTGCAGAGATATTTCCTACTAAAGGCTTCTGACGAGGATGCAACTCTAGCCAATCAAAGAAGGCCAGCGTCAGGGGTGGGAGTTCACGGGTATCATATGCGAATGTGCTTTAGCTCTACTGACATGGTCGCAGGCTAGCAAGCTACTGATTTCAGTATTACCTGAGACAACTACTTGAAAAGGAAAGTCAACAAATGAGTTTTGAAGAGAAAGAAGAAAAGAAACCAACACAGTTGGATTTAGATCATAAAGTTATGTCAGCGGGGCGTTCAGCAGCTGGAGAGAGTTGACAGAGAAGAGGGTTTTACACACAGATGCTGATTTGTGCTGTGTTTACAGTAGTCATGAAGCAGGGCAGTCAGCTCAGTGAGATACATTACTTTAGTGCCAAAACTTCTCCAAACACCGTGTGAGGGTTTTGCATTCCCGAAGGGTTGGGTGGAACACGAGCAGAGTGGAGCGAGCACGGAGAGGGAGGGCTGGGAAGAGCAGAGGCGACTGATTCCAGCCTTATACTAGCACTAGCTAGATTCTGAATTAATCTTCATTGTAGCTTTAAAAGCACCATCCCTGCAGGTACACAGCCATATCTCCTTTTACCACTGAGAGTTATT